GTTATATAGGATTGTACCCAGACAGGCGATTAGACTGGAAACCATCTACTAAAACGTGCGGAGGGGAGGGTGTATAGGAGATAACCAAATTGAACAAATGAACACAGCAAACGTAACAGAAAAAACCGTAACACCGAATTTTATCGCATCCAGTCCTTTGAGTACAAAGTCTTCATTACATTAGTAAATAACTCTAGTAATCACACCATCTGTACCGAACTATGCCATCGTCCATGCCGTCCGATATCTTAAATTCTCCTGGCCTTAATTCAATATCCATCTATTAAACATAGAATCTAACCCACTCCATTCTACCTAAGAACAGCTCGACACCCTGGACATCTGAAGCTGTGGTATACTAGATGCCATCAGGAATAAGCCGACACAAATGTTTAACGATGGCAATATAGGTGGCCTCAGTTAAAGCCACTCAGACCTTGTATCTCAAGTCTAATCACAATTCCCATAGTTCCTGATTATTTGTTTCAGTTTCTAATTAACAACAATCTCTAAATCATCTTAAACAGTTGTTTGCTCTTCGTAGTTTTGGTCAGTTCTGAGTACGACCCGGTACCGGATAGGCATATGTAGGAGCAAACAGAATTATACCGGCAGGTTCAGTGATCGGCCACCGGTTGCACCGTTGAAATTAATATTTGGTGCAACGTCCACAGCAGCCGGACAGCCGTGGGCGTGGCGACCTTTGATCAAATCGGACCTCCATTTTCCCCTTTATCAGGTAAATATACATAATCGCAATTCGGCCCACCAACAACGTAACCCCAGGGCATTAGTGGATTAATTTCCCCGTGAATATTGGTTTAGAAGGAGATTTCACGGTTGTTAATAGCGTACGCCGGATCCAATTTAATCCGAAACATTTCACAAAATTCCTAAATGCAATATTTTCAGAGGTTTATTCAGATAACAAGTCCCCAATGGGAAATGTATTTACAACAAATAGATATACACTAAAATTGAAATGTCATTATAAGAAAAATATTTGCGATTTATCATCTTCAAGTTTACCAAGATTCAATTCACTAGTTTCGTGGTCCGCTTGACCAATTAATATCTTTCAATTAATTAAGGTTTTTAATAGAGATAAAAAAGTCAGTGTCACGAGCGGGATTCGAACCCACGATCTTCGGCTAGATAACTATCGTGACCTCAGGCTCAAGTGGTCGAGCAGCGGCGTATCTAGCCGAAGATCGTGGGTTCGTATCCCGCTTGTGACATTGACATTTTTACCTCAACTAAAAACCTTAATTAATTTACCAAGATTTTTACTTTTCTTTCATCGAAAATTTACCCGAACTTCATATAGAAAACCTTGCTGCCCTGGTTTGTCATTGGTCGAAATGGCTAACACCCAATCTAACACACATCTAATAATTACACCAATACATAAAATCTATTAAATTGAAAATTCATCCACGTATCCACTCAATCAAACTTTACATCGTATAATGTTCAATCAGGACTTTAATCACTTGCGACGCGGTTTTCCCGGGTTAAACAATTGTACTTTTTTAATTCTAACTTTTCCGAGTTTAAATTGGTTCGGGGTTTTAAAGTACCCTCTGCCCTTGCTCTATTTTAATCACCCTTGTAATGTACGTGTGGCCACCGCCCTGGACTCAAAACGAACCTTTTTAATCCATATGCTACACACAAAATCACAAAATGTACAAGTAAAACGAATAAACATACCTGAACTTATGTACTTGACATTAAGCAGTCTTTAAAACTCGAAAATCAAAAATGGATTTGCCTTTATTTTAAGACCAGAAAATAGTTGTTATAGCCTGTCCATATTTATTTACAGATCTGAAACTGATTAACTGACTAGTATTTGACATGTTAGCGGTTCTGGTATAATCCCGGCATTGATTACAGCTTCTTAATTGAGCATGATATGAAAAAAAAATTGTAAAGTAGCTATTAATCCATTTATGTTTAGTGGTGAAATTGACCAAATTACCTATTTCAGTTAATTATTCTTTTTATGTAAGAACTTGGTTGAGATGAAAAAGTTAGTGTCACGAGCGGGATTTGAACCCACGGCCCAATACGCCGCTACTCTAATCAATTGAAGTTAGTTCAAGGGCAGCGGCGTATTGAGCCGAAGGTCGTGGGTTCGAATCCCGCTCGTGACATTAACTTTTTCATCTCAACCAAGACCTTACATAAAAAGAATAATTAATTGAAATAGGTAATTTGGTCAATTTCACCACTAAAAATAAATGGATTAATAAATGGTTGCACCCTCGTCCGCGACACCCAGAGGGATGAGACGTATGAGACAGGAATTTACAAACTGTAGAAGTTCAATTTATCAGAAAAGTTCAATTTTAAAACCTTTTGCTCCTAGACATGTTATACATGAACTCGTACCTTCGTAAATTTTAGACTATTGGAACAGTTTAGGTTTCAAATTTTCTTCTATAAAGTTATGAAAATTTCTTAATGTGTGAAATCATCAACCTACATCAAGTGACTGTGTCAAAGATGAACTGTTCTAAGTCCGGGGCTGAATAAAAACTACAATACATATCGCCGTACTCGATCAAAAAAGGGATTAAAAAAAGTTTATAAACCCAAACAAAAGAGAGATAAACAAATACAATTTTATGTTTATAGCTGAATTTGCATATCAACATCTCGAAAGGACCGAAGCTTATTTGTTGATTCTTTACGATTGGACGATAAACGTTCAGTACAATTACTGAAGGTCAGATTAGAACAAATGCGTAGATTATTTTTAGTATCATGGAAAGCACCCCTTATTAGAAATGGAGATTGACTACATGATCCTAGAAAAACTCTTTATAACATCCTACATGATCCTAGAAAAACTCTTTATAACATCCTACAAAGTCTTAACAAACTACAAAGGAGAAAAAAAAATCAGGAGGACACAGACGGCTCCGTTACAAATGAAAGATCAGGCCTTTTCCGTACAAAGCCAAAACATAAGAAATAAACCTCATTAGGGAAGTACTCCTCGGTCTTTCAAGGTGAAATATGTACCATCAAAGTTAGTGCCTTCTTAAATCTCAAAAGTGGTTACACTGACAAAAAAATCTTCTCAAGATCGGATAGCCAAACAGCAATCACAGCATTAGCATGTAAAAAATAACATCAAAATTAATCTGTGAATGCAACATCTCAAAAACCTGGGGAAACACAACATGATGATATGTTGGGTACCAGTACTCAAGGGAATGTTGGATAACGAAAAGGCAGACACACTGTCCAGATGGGGATCTGCAAGACCATGGTTGGTTCTGAACCTATTGTTGGGATAATAAAAACAAACACTGGATCCTCCCTCACACAATGGATCAAAAAAAGGTAAAAGGAGAAATGGATAAATTGCAGGGGCACAAGCTACAATAAGATTATGCTAAAAGAACCCTCACCAAGATTGGCAATGCTACAATTATAGAGTGCTAAACTTTAGGAAAGCGTAGGACTATTTACTGGACCCTGGCATCTGCGAAAACATTTACGAACACTCTGGATCAAGGTATGGTTCACTTGTTACTGCCATGGTTTCGACCTATTTTAAAGCCATCATCAGAGCAAAACATTCACTAAGCTTGTCAAACTCTGCTTAAAGTTAGAGAAGGCTAGACTCAGTGGAGTGATATGACTATTAAGCAGACACTGGCATCTGAGCAAACATCTACGAATACTCTGGATCCATGCATGGTCTTGAAGAAGAAAGCAAATTTAGTAGCTAGCACCAAGCTTTCGACCTATTTTAAGGTCAACATCATGTCCAAATGATCTTAAATATGACTACAGATTGACGTAGTTAAAGTTGTTTTGCCGTGATGACCTTAAAATAGGTCGAAAGCTTGGCAGAAGCAACTACTTTCCTTCCTTCTTCAAGACAATCCCTTGGTCGTGTGATCGTTTGTAGGGTCGAGTGGTCAAAATGACGGAACTTAAAGGTGGACATGGCTGAGGCATTGCGAATTGTGGTGGGAGGGAATTCTAGAGGTTGTAGGAACGATAAGGAAAAAGCCACTAAAAGCGATGAATTTGTATGAGCAGGGTTAGGGGAAGGTTATCAGAAGGGTGGATACGAGCATGGCGAGCGTGTAACTGTGTATGAAGGCTAGACTTAGAGGAGTGGTATGACTAATAACCATGCACTGGCATCAGAGAAAACATCTACGAACACTCTGGATCAAGGTATGGTCTTGAAGAAGATAGCAAAATTTAGTAGCTATTACCAAGCCTTCGACCTATTTTAAGGTCATCATCAGGGCAAAACAACCTTAAATTACAGATTGACATATTACAGACAGATTAAATTTAATATCTTCTTCAAGACCATACCACATCGAACAACAAGTGTTCGTATGTGAAAAAGTGGTCGATACTTATAATACTTAAAACAGAAAACATCTACACAACACGAACATATTTAACACAATGATTCTGTTTGCAGATTAAGGAATTAGGAAAAAGAAATAGCAATACATTTTATCTTCGAATGCGAAGCATAGCTGGGATAGAAAGAAAACACAGGGAAAGGAATTTTAGCAACGACAGTCAATGGCCTAATACTTCTTAGCAAAAGCATCCAGTCGATTGCAGTGAACTAAGGAGCTGGGATAGCACAAAAAGCCAGAAGGCTGCAGTGAATGCATCCATTATCATCAACTTGGGGAGAGAAAACATTTTAGAAGTGTATGTAACAGCCACTCTTGAAAATGGAGTTTTTTTCCAAATTTTATCCGATCACATTATACCAAATTATAAGAGAATTATTATTATTATTAATGAAGATGTCAAACCAGCTAGCAATATAACTAATATTTTATGATGTTCAAAATGTTAGATATGCTGCAAATGTTTCTCACAAAGATAAATAGACCATTTGAAAAAGGTTGATTCCAGGAAAGCAAATTTTTAAGCTTTCATTGAGTAAATAAATACCAGTGATAAATTAACAAAACACAATAATAAATAAGGTTGCTTACGATGAGGCGGAGTCGATATCATAGGATACGGAGGAATCATGTTGGGGGTGAGTCCAGCGAACTGCAAAGAAGCGAGGTAGTCGTGAGCAGCTAGCTGAGAGGCCATACTCCACCAGGCGGCACCTGTAAAAGAAAAACGATTAGTCGAACTTTTATACAAACACTAAACGGGATCAAAGTGGGACAAACATTACAAAAGGTCTGATCGATTAACTGATGAACTCTTACGGTGCCTCTACACGATCAAGCGTGCTTCAATCAACCCTTCAATCTTTCGGTCAAAACTCTCTCGACCCTCATCAGTGGAAGACGTGAAGTGGAGCAGTGCGTTTCGCTGTTTGATTTTTTGTTTTGTTTCGGTGCTGAATGGTTTCAAATACAGATTTGGGCTTCCTACATTGGTTGCCCTGAAGCAGAAAAAACAGCAAAAGAAAAAAGACGGTGGGCTAAGGAGTGGTACAAACTGAGAAACCGCTTCACTAATAATCTTTACTCTTTACTTTCCACAATTCGGGACAATCACGATATAGATCTATCAACAAACTGATGAACTCCCGCTCCGTGTTTTCGGGAAGCGCGGTTTCGGTAGTGGATGCCATGACTTCCACCGAGTGACGGACGCAATGCTTGATGAAAATTGCCCTACAGTATCAAGCCGCTTGATCATCTGCTTGAGTCATTCAAACTTCCTATAATCACCGTCAATGCTTGCTTCATGCGTCAATCAGGTTTCTACACTATCAATCACGCTTGATACAATCGATTTACTCAAGCATTTGATCAAGCCGCTTGATAGTGTAGGGCAATTTTCATCAAGCATTGCGTCAGTCACTCGGTGGATGTCATGGCGTCCACTACCGAAACCGCGCTTCCCGAAAACTGTATGCAAAAGGAGGTTTCAATGGAATTGGAATCACTAGATTTACTGATACCATTCTTATTTTCTATCCACACTAACATTCTCGGCAACAATCAAAAAAAAAAAATTAAACAGAAATAACCAAAATTATTTAATCGAATAATCTGTCTACTTCGGACCTTTAAGTATAATGAACCTTCTGAATGAGGAATTGTTTCAATTGCTGACGGTGATAAATTCGTAGATTGAATTCCCGCCTCTCCCTGCTTACAACCCTGACAAACCACAGAACGCCGAAACCTCGTCTGACAGATCAAAGAACGAGGATTATTATAACTAGTTAAATTTGAACTAATCAACGCATATTGTCAAGATCAGATCAAATTTCAAGGAAGTAGTAGTAAATACAATTTATATGAGACATTTCCACACAGAAAAATTGATTATGAGTTAATATCAATACAGATCTTATTAAGATCAATATGTGATAAACAGGGCGTACAATAAATTTTTAATATGACGTAAAAGAGAGTGTAGACAGAAAAAAGGAAAGCTTGTATAAGAAATGCCAGACAGAAACAGAGACTAAGAAACTCCAAATAGTTGAAAAATATCAGTAGCTTTTAATGGATGTAAGCAGGGTGAGGCAAGAAACAAACCTATCGTCGTCCAAACTCACCCCTGGGAGATGGCAAAATGCTCTAAAGTGCTACTGACAGACCAAAACAAAGTGACTGGTAATACCATGATGAAATCCATGTCGACTAATAGTTTGTAAGGGATATAAGAAGGGTGAGGAAGAAACTAACCCATTGGCGTCCTTATATTAATCTATATGCAAACTCACCACTGATGTTGCAAAAATGCTAAAGTGTTATATCCAGACAAAACATAGTGAAACGACAAAGGCCACGATGACCTCTTCCAAAAACACAACACAATATCAGTGGCTTGGTAGGGATATAAGCAGGGTGAGACAAGAGAATAACTCTTCGTCGTTCTCATTTTAATCCTGAGACTAGATCCAGCCTCACGCAAAGTAATGCCCAGTTAGACAGACAGACCATACAATGAGGATAGACAAACTGATCGGTACCGACTAAAATACCGGTTCATCACCCACTGTAGAAATCTAACACAAATATTTAAAACAGTGCGTTCAGCACAGAAAATGTCTAATTTATTGAGAAAATAAGAAAGGATAGAGAAAGTATCAACTGTGCTTCTCTTTTTATTGGGTTTGTTATATGCATCACATAATCATTAATGTCTAATCATATTTTAATCTCAGCAATGCCATCTTAAACGTTTGATTACTGTCAAATGGACTTTTACAAAAGTAAAGCTTGAAGAAAAATATATCTATAATAAAACAAATCAATTATTATCAAAGAACATTGCTTGTAATGCTTATCATCTTCAACTTACGTATATACACAAAACAGTTCCTGACTGACTTACAGACAACGTATCTAAAGGGGCTGCAGTTTTGACAGAGCATTCCTATATTGACAGATAATCCGCTAAGAAAGGATTTTTGAAATTCCATCCTAAGGTGATCAAATGGAAAAATTTTTACCATGTGTAGATCGAAGTGAACTGAAGAAGAGATGAATTTGAAAAATGAGGGATTATCTTAGAAACACATACTAGCACTCTGCATCGAATTAGAAAGGTATATTAAATGGACGAAGTCGCGGGTAAAAGCTAATTTTGTCATATGATTCCTTAACATTTTGAAAATGACTTATAATTAGTTTTTAATTGCATAATATAAAACAGTCTAATCGTTCATAAAAAGTGCTTACATTAAAATATGGCTCGACAAAAATCACGTGCTTACAGTTTTAGCAGTACTTAGCATACTTAATCTTAATTACCAAGCGTGACACAATTAATCGAGAACCGTTGGCATTTAAAAAGCAATCGAAACGAAATGACGTCGGTCAGAATTGAATTGGGTGAGAATCACCGCGTCAAAACTGAAGTTGATTGTATTTAAGGACAAAAGAGAAAAGGATCTTGCAAAAACATTAATTCCAAGGTGTGTGACATCCTCCCTGGGAGAAAAATTTCAGCTTCGCCTGGAACCACTCCTAAACGGAATCGTGTGATATTTCGTTTCTTTTTCCCCTCCTCGACGGACGGTTTTTGGTTCCCCGCTCACTCCTTTCTTTTCCTGGGATACACAAAACTTTGAAACGTTCCCACTGACCTGACAGCCCCAGAGCCGGATTTGTCAGCTTTCATGCGTTCCCACCGAGCCGACAGTTCTCAGAGATGAAAGGAGTAAAAGTTGGAACTACGTCGTTTCGGGAGCAATTTTATTCTTAATAGAGACGTCCACGTCGATACAAATGCGTGACTTTATCAACAATGGAATATATCAATACCAATAATATCCATCGTGAGGAACGATAAAACACATTTTTTAAACCTCTCCATTCTTGTTTTTTACTGTCAATACCAATGTTCATTTTTTCGTAAGCAAATCTATCAGATTTTAACATTATATTAGCAACAACTTATGGATGGTTAGTTTCTCGCCTCACCCTGCTTATTTATATACCTGACCAGCCACTGATGGTTTTTCGACAATTTAACGGTCATCCTAGTCTGGCTAGCTCACTTTTTGAGCCTGTCAGTGGTACGTTAGCGATTGCCAGCTTCAGAGTGAATTTGTGTAAAGATTAAGCAGGGAACACACCCGATGCAACGCTACGCGACACCTCGTCTCGTTTCGGTAGGGTGTGCACATCTGTTCGACGTCAAGCGCACGCCACGTACAGTCACACAGCGTGTATCACAAATCAGTAACACCATGTCATAAATTGTTAGTTAAATTTTATGAGTACAACCATCGTCGGGGTCAAGGAGCGTCGCGATCGGATAAGTGTTTCTCCGCTTTAGTTTCTTGCCTCACCTTACTTATATCCCTTAAAACGTTTGATACTTTTTAGACTATTTGGAGATTATCGTGGCCTTCCTAATTTCGCTGTTTTGGTTTTCAGTAGCACTTTAGACTTCTACAGTGGTAAGTTTGTGATGGAATTAAAAAAAGGGCGACGAAGGGTTGGTTTCTTGTCTCACCCTGCTTATATCCCTTAAGATCTACTGATACTTTTTCCATTATTTGCAGATTATCGTGACCTTCCTAATCTCGTTGTTTTGGTTTTCAGTAGGACTTTAGAGCATTTTGCCCTCTGCAGTAATCAGTTTTTTGGTGGAATTAAAAAAAGGGCGACGATGGGTTGGTTTCTTGCCTCACTTCCCTTGTATCCCTTAAGATCCACTGATACATTTTCCACTATTTGCAGATTATAGTGGCCTTCCTTATCTCGTTTTGGTTTTCAGTAGCACTTTAGAGCATTTTGCCCTCTCCAGTAATGAGTTTTTTGGTGGAATTAAAAAAAGGACGACGATGGGTTGGTTTCTTGCCTCACCCTGCTTACATCCCGGACGAAACTACAAATTTTAAAATAATTTCAACAGCTTACCAAGGTAAATGGAACTTTCTTCAACATTTACGAGGACGTTTTTATATAAGAATAAAATTTACCGGTTTTATGATGGTTTAAAACCAGGATGAGAAGTGTTTCTTAAAAAACATGCCCAAATTTGCGAGTTAATTTAAACTCGTCATGTTAATCTAGATTATGTAGCGGTGATATAACCTCGGCAATTAAACAACTTTCTTTTCTTAATCAAGCCAAGGAACTGAACGTAATGTGTATAGATGAATAATTTAATAAACATGTATTAAGTAAAAACATTGGAGAAACTGTGTTGAACGAACTTTTGAATTAATTTTCTATCATAAATGGATTGTCATTAACTATTTTTTAGCGTTGAAGACTTATCATAAACAACAAATTCACCATCACAAAGAATAAATCCCAAAATTTGACATTCATGTGTTGTCTTATTGAAGGAAAGCAAAAATCAATTTGTATATACCCTTACGTAGAAATCAACTTTTGTGATATTATATATTTGCAGCTGTTATTTTATTTAACTTACTGGCAGGGTTGATGCCCAGGTTGGCGGCTTGCGATGCGGCTACGCTGAGGGTGCCGTAAGGGTTGGCGCCCCCGTAGCCACCGGTTGCCGGGGTTCCAGGCCGGCCCAGGAGTCCACCGTACGCCCCAGTGTACGCGCCGAACAGAGCTGCAACAAAACAACAAATCAGAAAACCTGAAAAAAAATGACTTCACCACATTTTGTATGTTAATGATCTGACTCATTTCCTAATGTTGTAGTAGCCGTTGAGCAAACCTAAGCAGTATCAGTCATCAGAAGCTGTTTGATCTAATCAATGACTAATTTATTACTAACACTTCACATTTTCGATTTTGCAGGTTGATGTCACAAATAAAACCGTTGGGGACAAATACTGCTATTATGGGAAAATTTGAACAATTTTTTTTTATTAAAAGTAAGCTTGTGCATGAATTTTAAGTGTGAATATTTATTGTAAATATGTTAGTATAAGCGAAAGCAGAAGAGAGAGGAAGAGAGGGAGAGAGAAAGAGAGAGGGGGAGTGAAGGGGAGGAAGAGAGAGGGGTGAGAGAGAGATAGGGAGGGAGATAAAGAAAGCTACAGCGAGAGAGAGAAAGAGAAAGAAAAAGAGAGGGAATGAGTATGTTAGTAAGTACGACAGTGAGAAAGAGGATGATGTGAGTGATGAAGGCATGTGTTTTTGTAAGTGAGTGAGGAATGAGTATGTGTGTGTAAAGGTGTGAATGATATAGAAAGAAATTGAGCAATGATTATGTGAGAGTAAACGGTGTTATTATTTCAGCAAGTATGTGAGTGAGAGAAATGAATATTTGAATGTGAAGGTTGCAATGAGTAATATATATTAATGAAAAAGAGAGTGACAATATGTTACAACGTCTTTATTTCAGATAAACAATGCAACAGTCTAACAGTCGAGAAAAACTTTGATATTTTATTTGCCGTTGAGAGGTTGAGAGTGAATGTGTGATTATAAGAATAAATTAGTGAGTATATGAACGTGAATGAGTGAAAATGTTATTGAATAAGAAAGTAAGACAATGTATGAATGAGAGGTGGTATATGTGAGTGAATGTGGGTGTAATTGAGTGAGTATGGTACTGAATGAGTAAGTAAGAAAGTGTATGAGTGAGTGATTGGTACCTTTGAAATTAATGAAGTATATAAGTCTTGATGAGTATGTTACTAGGCGAGAAAGTAAGAGAATGTACGAGTGAGTGACTGTATATAATGTGAATGAATGAGTGACTGGGAGATTAACTGAGTGAGCATATAAGCGTGAACGAGTATGTTACTGGGTGAGAAAGTAAGAGAATGTACGAGTGAGTGTACATAATGTGAATGAATGAGTGACTGGGAGATTAACTGAGTGAGTATTTAAGCGTGAATGAGTATGTTACTGAGCTAGAAAGTAAGACCATGAATGAAAGTATATTGTGAATGAATAGGTGAGTAATTCAGTGAGTAATTGTATATATGAGATTAATTGAGTATATAATAATTGAGTGATTATATTTGTGTGAATAATTAAATGAATATATAAGCGTTAATGAGTATGTTATTGAGTGGGAAAGTATGAGAGTGAATGAATGATTGTATATTCTGAGTGAATAGGTGAGTAATTGAGAGAATGATTGTATATGTGAGATTAATTAAGTGAGTGTATAAGCGTTAATTTGTATGTTACTGAGTGAGAAAGTAAGAAAATGAATGAATGAATGATTGAATATTGTGAGTGAATAGGTGAGTAAATGAGGAGTGAATGTACATGTGAGATTAATTGTGTATATAAGCGTTAATGAGTATGTTACTGAGTGAGAAAACAAGAGAATGAACGATTATGTATTGCGAGTGAATAGGTGAGAATTGAGTAGTGATTATATTTGTGAGAATAATTATATGAATATATAAGCGGTAATGAGTATGTTATTGAATGAGAAAGTATGAGAGTGAATGAATGAACGATTGTTTATTCTGAGTGAATAGGTGAGTAATTGAGTGAGTGATTGTATGTGAGATTAATTAAGTGAGTGTATAAGCGTGAATGAGTATGTTAAAGAGTGAGAAAGTAAGAAAATGAATGAATGATTGTGTATTGTGAGTGAGTAGGTGAGTAAATGAGGAGTGAATGTACTTGTGAGATTAATTGAGTATATAAGCGTTAATGAGTATGCTACTGAATGAGAAAGTAAGAGAATGAATGAATGAATGATTGTGTATTGCGAGTGATTAGGTGAGTAAATGTACATGTGAGATTAATTATGTATATAAGCATTAATGAGTATGTTACTGAGTGACAAAGCAAGAGAATGAATGAATGATTGTGTATTGCGAGTGAATAGGTGAGTAAAAGAGGGTGAATGTACATGTGAGATTAATTGACTATATAAGCGTTAATGAGTATGTTCCTGAGTGAGTGATAGTACATGTGAGTCAAAGAGTGATTTGAGAGGAAATGCTTATGTAAGCGTGTCTGTGTTGTGGAGAGTTGGGTGAGGGAACAATATAAAATGAGAAGTGTGTAATTTTGAGTTATATGCGTTCCCTAGTGAGCTGTATGAGTGTGAATTCCTCTTTGATAGTTTTATCGATCTAATGCCGTCGGGTTTACAAAAATTATGCAAAGATCAGCATCATTGTTCTCTTATATTAGTAGCCTATTTCAGTAGTAGTATATTCAGTACAGTAGCCTAGCCAGATTAAAAAACTGCATATCAATTCTAATTGTCGAGAAAAAGCTTTGATCTTTTATTTGTTGGTAAGATTTATTGTTAATAATTTCAGCGTGTATATACTTTATTTAATAATGAATTTGTCAATCTTGTCAACGGGTAAATCTGTAAACATTTGAACGGTCCGATGTAATTAATTGACTCAGAACGCAGGCGTTAAATTAACCTTTGAACCAACAGCTCGAATGATGTCCTGGGTAAATTTGTTGTCATTTCAAAACTTAATTTGATTTATGGCCGGTTCTTGTTTGAACTCTTGCGATGATGTGATCAGTTGTTTTTTAAATAGACAATTTCATTATTTAATTTAATAACGAATAAGTAAAGTACTTTCTTACATTTTAATTCCCTTGCGATGTATTGACCAAGGATTGATGTTATTGCTTCTTTGCATCTGACGGCTCAGTGAGCCATGAAGGTCTCTTTTGTTACAACTAATAAAGATAATACAAAAAACTTAGTTTTCGGTTGAAAAAAAAAATCTATGCGACTTTGTTGGATTTTATTAGTTAAAACTTTTAATTACGCTTTCAAAACAAGGATTGTTTTGTTTTTTCTAATCTTGGTTAAGGAAATATAGTCTGCAGTAGAATTGTAAGAGATAAAGATGAAAATAAAAACTTTTAATCATAATTAACTTGATTGAACACTAACATTAACTAATGAAGTCACGATAGCTTAAGTGGTTAGAGCAGGGGCGTATTGAGCCGAAGGTCGTGGGTTCGAAACCCGCTCGTGACACTAACATTTTCATTTCAACCAATACCTTACATAAAAGATTAATTAACTGAAAAAAGTTATTTGGTCAATCGGACCACGAAATATAATGGATTTACTAACATTAACTTGAATACTCAGTGATTTAAATCCGTATTTGTTTGTCTTTAACCAAGGACAGATGGAAATTGATTTCATCTGGGTTAAATGAAAAATACTGAGCAAATAAATTTTTATTGGCCGGTAATCGTTAATTAACAAAATTGCCGCTCATTAGCGAGAGCTACAGGTCTTTACATCCTCCCCTCGATAAAAATCAATTCACCCCCTTCACAGACCGAACTGCCTTCCCCAGGATCGGTTAATACACGGTTCGACAAAATTAGGCAATAATTATGAGTAAAAGTAATTAGGCGAGAGGGGGACTCCTTCAGTTTTAAACTTGTCCTTTTGTACAAAATATAAATAATTATATTGTTGTCGTTTTTTTCGATCCGATCCCAGTTTACAGTCAAACAAATGGAAAACAATTTTTCATGTTAAACATGTACAAATAATGCTGTAAAACTACATTTACTTTGATGGTTTTTTATTGTAATTTTCGGCTTATTCATACGAAAACACTATGGTAAAATGTAAATACTGCGGTATAATTAGAATGGTCATCGACTGCCACGTTACGTAAAAATATAAAAGTGGTGAGTGAATGAATCATTAAGACAGGGACGAGGCGAAAGAGAAATAAAGAGAGGAGATATGGCCAGTCAGACAGAGAATGAGTGTGACAGACTGCAGCTTTTTGGCTTATTGTGCTTTCCCAATTCCTCAGTTCAGTGTATTCTATTCGATCTTTCTCCTATGAAGTACTAGGTCGTTGACTGTCGTAGCTGAAATTATTTTCCCTCGGTTTTCTTTGTATTCCAGGTCGTCAACATTGAACGGTTGCCTCACATTCGAAGATAATCTGGGTAGCAGTTTCTTCCTCCTCATTGCATAATCTACAAATGGTATGATATCCAATCAATCACTCCTTATATTATTAATATTATTATGAGTACTTTTGCCTTTTTTTTATCCATTCAGTGATGGAACATTCTGTGTGTTTTCGTTATCCAAAGAACAGGTTCAAGGCCTATCTATGGACTTGTGTGTCTGCCTTTTCGTTACCCAACATTCCATTGTGTATTACCCAACATATCTTCAGGTTGTTGTGTTCCCCCAGGTTTTGGGGATGTTGCATTCACTGACTAATTTTGATGTTATTTTTTTACATGTTAATCCTGTAATAGCTGCTTGGCTATCCGATTCAGCGTTCGTAAGTGAAAAAGTGGTCGATACTTTTACTACTGAAAACAGAACCTACATTTCAACACCTAAGTTGGTTAATTTTCTGTTAATTTTTGCCCTTCTTGTTTATTTTAGTACGTTTAATTTATTTTTATGCTATGCATTACATTTAAATCTTTATTTACACATTCATTTTGACATTATGCCAAATTTTGTACTTTTTTGTTATGTAAGAAAGCCCAAAGCCCCAGAATAAAATTGATTTTCTTCTACTTATATAAATCGGGTTATAAACTGAATGAAATGGATTTTGGTAACAAATCACAGAAATGCGGTTAATTTCTAGCACCGTGTATCTAGCTCCTAGCAACAAGCTATCTAACAAACCCAAGTTTCTGAAACGAAAAGCTACACTATTGAGATGGCGACTACACCATCTCTCCTTATGTAAAATTAACTTTATTTACGATTAAACTCCAATGACTTGTCGTCTTTTATGCCATCTTAAGAAAATTCTTCCGACTTGCACTTTTCATTTTCTGAACACAAAGTATTGGCCGATATTGTGTGATGTGACGTTTAACCCAAAATGGTAGTAGACTAGTTAGTTCTGTAAATAGAAAATAAATTTTACCATGACAAATTCTATTTTTTTTAACGGAAAATCTGAACGTTTACATCTTTTATATATATCCATGATATTTATTAATAGTCATGTAAAACAATTATATAAAACTGTGCAACGTGTCCAATCGATTTCTGGGCCTCCGACTCGTGTCTTTTAAAAGAAAATATTTATTATTATCGATACAATTTGTGGACGTTTCGATCAGTGGAATAATGTCCTTGATCATTTACACATGCGTTTCAGTGATTGCTTATTAAAACTTTTACCGCTGACACGGCCATTTCCATAAAAGACGCTTCAACTCCAATTCTATTTTGGTTTTAAACCTCTTTCAACTGTGAAACGGCCGAAAACGTTTTCCCCGTTGGGAAAAAGACAACAACCGCCGGGATTCGGTTGAAAAAGAGGTCCTCCCGCCAGGTGAACGCCCGCCTGCACATGGCAACAAAATTTTCCCGTTTAAGTCGGCGAGCATTGATTAAAGTAGATAGACTTTGGAATGCAAATTTGGCTCGATCCTTTTGAGAGAGCCGGCACGCCCGGTGGATCACTGACTCGATTTCAGTCACAAACACATCCTTGTTTTCTTATTTAGGCAAAGAGCCAAACTCGAAAAAACTCCGCCCACTCATCACACAAAAATTTAGTACTTTCATTAACATAGCTATTTAATCAAAGCCTGATATTGTGCTTTGTCTACTCTTTTCTTAAACAAAGACGGTTAAATGGATTGTTAAAGGCTGTATCCCATTATATTTAATGGTTTTGCCTAGTAACTAAACAAAACGGTTTATCAGTAGAAGTACCTGGTAGTCATAAATTAGTAAACCCTAATATTTATAGGTAACCAGAACGTACCAAATTATATTATTATAATTTTTAAATGATTGCAATAACCAAACTATTATAATTGCCGGTAGTACTAAAAGTAAACCATTATGATTAGCGAATAATGGCTCAAGTAATTGACCTATTAAAATTCATTAAATATAAATGTAGCAATGCTCAGTACTAATCTATTACAACTGATCATAGTGCCTAGTAGTATCTGTTCTTATGTAGTTATCTTAACCACTGTTAGTAAATATTTAATGTTTGAATTATAACTGGCATTAGTACTCAGCAGCCGTTTGTAAGTAGCAGTACTGTAGTAACCAATCTACTATAATTAGAGCCCAGAAGTCACTTATTATAACTGGTTGTAGCGCCTATCAGAAATCTATTATTATTAACAGTAGTTCTCAGTACTAGCCTTTTATAATTAGTAGGAGTTCCTAATAGTACCCAATCCATTACAATTGCCAAGTAGTGCTGAGAAATCACTTATTATAACTGATTGTAGTGCCTAACAGTAATCTATTATCATTAACAGTAGTTCTCAGTACTGGCCTTTTATAATTAATAGAAGTTCCTAATACTGACAAATCTATTATAATTGTCTATAGTGCTCAGATGTCACTTATTATAACTGGTTGTAATGCCCAAAGTAATCTATTACAATTAACAGTAGTTCTCAGTACTGGCCTTTTATAATTGGTAGAAGTTCCTAATACTAACCAATCTATTGGCAATAGTGCTCAGAAGTCACTTATTATAACTGGTTGTAGTGCCTAACAGTAATCTATTATTATTAACAGTAGTTCTCAGTACTAGCCATTTAAAATTAGCAGGAGTTCCTAATACTGACAAATCTATTATAATTGGCAATAGTGCTCAGAAGTCACTTATAACTGGTTGTAGTGCCTAAAGTAATCTATTACAATTAACAGTAGTTCCAAGTATTAGCCTTTTATAATTAGTAGAAGTTCCTAATAGTAACCATAGTTATTAGCCAAAGGGTCAGTAGTAATCTATTATAACTGATTATAGTGCCTAGTACTAATCTATTCTAATTAGCATTAGTAGCCTTTTATAATTAATAGTAGTTCCTAGTAGTAAACTATTTTCATTGGCATAAGTGACTAGGAGTAATCAATCATAATTGGTAAGCAGAGGTTAGTAGTAATTCGTTGTAAATGTTAGGAGTATCTAATGGTAACTTATTATAATTATTAGCACTAAAGTAATAGCATCTTACATAAAAAGAATAATTAATTGAAAGAAGTAATTTGGTCAATTAGGCCACTAAACTTAAATGGATAATAATTGATAATAATTCCACTTTACATTGTAACAGAAAAATGTATTAAATTTATAAAAACATATATTAAAAAATTGCACTCTGCACTTTTTGTTAATTAATGTTTTATGGATTTAATCAAACTGATATAATATGCCAAAATAAAACTACATACTATTCATTTGCTATTGTTATGAGAAATTTCATGGGAATCGAATCCACGACGTCTACAAGCCGAAAGAAAGACACGCTGATCACTCCGTTACAGGAAAGTGTTAAATTTTCAATGAAAACTATGTTCTTTTGTTGTTAATGCCATATAAAAAATTAAATAACCAACAGAAGTACTATTAATAAAATATCAAAGACTTACAGTTTGTGTTAGATGCTGCATTGCTACCTTCAGCCCTAGGCCAGAAAGAAGCTGGAACAAAATTGAAAATAAAAATTATTAAAACGGTAAAGGATGAAATTAACAATTTAAAAATTACAAGACACTAAAGGTGACGAAATCTGAAAGATATATAATAGTCTGAAAGATACGCGTCTGTCAGATCAACCCAGTTAGGCAGACCAAAATCAAAAGACATTACCAATAATAAATTTGAACTGCGTTTTACTGCCATGATGATTTACGACCCATAAAAAATATCCGAGATTTTTTTCTCGAGATATGTTCGTCGTATTTGTATCTATGATTGTTTTGATTTATGTTATAAACAGTAGAAAAGCAAGAAAAAATAAGGCTGTAATATTATCGCCAACATTATTAGCATATGTCCATCGCCATTTAGAGCCTAGACAAGAATACTGTAAGTATTGGTTAGTGTTAATTGAACATTGACTTATTTGCTTTGATATTTTTTATTATTTACGCAAAAATGTGTTAATATTTAATGACCAGTTCGCGAATTCTCCTGATTTATCAATGCGGCGAAGATAATCGTATAATCGTTCTGTTCGTTAACGCTATTAATATTTTTACATATAAGCCATTTGGATATTCTTGATGCAATCTGAGTGCAAAAGCTTGATAAATTTGTTCACCTTAAGTTCAGAATAATCGAATTTATTTATGTTAATCAAAACCAGTTAATTGTCGCATCTTCGCGCACTTGAATTTTCTGACCACGCCTATGATTCCAAGGAACAAACCTCGCGACCTACTTTCACAAAGACTTTTTTCAAGACAAGACGAGGGGAGACGTAGGTGTAATACCGCCAGGGATAAAAGCAGGGAGAAGCAAGACTCGACCTAGGTCACCAAGAGGGATGACTCGACGTTTGCATGAAAGGTACTTATCAAAACGAGCTATTTTGCTTCCAATCGAACTGTACAAAGTTCAAAGTCACACTCTTATCATATGAAAACTCAGAGCAAATTACCTTCTAACTACAAAGTAAATTTTATTAGGAACCTTCTCCAAAATCTGCCATTTTGGTATTTTTACCGCAAATTTGTGCAGTGTTATATGTTATTAAATATTGTTATTTGTTGAGAGCATATTCCGAATCTTTATCAAAGCCCTTAAGGCACAGTTTCTAGTGCATTGGACGCCTGTAGTCAGCTTCGAACTTCATTCACAATGTGTGCAAATAAAAACCATGGTTTTTATTGACAATATGGTGGTAAATTTATAATTTTGTTGGAAATGAAGGTATGAGCCACATAGTCGCATGAAAGTTTAGTCAGGATTAGTCACAAAAGACCTTTAGCGACAATCTACTCTAAGTTTATAAACACAGCAAACATTACCTTAATGAACAGTGTGCTCGGACTGTACTGACCTCTCCTAACCTTACCTACCGCTCTTCTTGCATCCTTTCCCGTTAATACAGTAGTACAATCCTCTGACCCCGATGCTAACGCTGTTTAGGATATCGCTGTTACCCCGATGACCTCATCTCACCACCTAGTTGCATCCTTTGCGCTCGATACGGCAATACTATCCTCTGATCCCGATGCCACAACTTCTTCGGATATCCTTTTAACCGCAGATGACCTGACAGCTACCTTGCATCCCTCAACTGCTTCGAAAAAACTACAGAGACATACCTGATGTATAGCAGACTGGTGTAGACAATGAAAAATTAATATCAATGAAATCAAGGGCATCCATGTTAGCAGGAGAAGCAACTCTCCTCTAATAAGATCTATAATATATTTAAACAATGTTCCTACCGCCTAATCTGACCATGCGTTATCTTGGGTTCAACTCATATTCTCAAGCTTAAGATGGATTCAGCTTACGCGACAAAAACCACCAGAACTAAGCAGAAGCTACGGTCCACCCTCCAAGCTTATGGGGCAATTATGAAAAACAAACTTACAGTATACAAAATACAACTATAACTGATTTGCAGTATGGTATAGAACTCTGGGGAACCGGTACACCTCTCAACATGTGTTGTCTCCTATTGATCTAAAAATCCTTAGATTAATTTGCTCAATGTTCCTGAATGCTTTCAACACCACAAAATTACCAACTTCTATAGAAAACTATCGCAATAGTCTTTTCAAGTCTGTTCAGCAGATACCATCCGTAATTCTATAAGGTCAGGCGGAAATGGCCCCGCGACCTCCTTTCTGAGGAATAGTAATCAACTAGTGAAATGTAGTGCAACAGGAGAATAATATTGCTTTTTGGTTCTTTCAAAACGACCATGTAAATAATTGCTAATATATGTATACGTATCCTCAAATATCATGTTTCAATTAGATTGTAAAAAAAGACGCAATAGACCTTTCGGACAACTTAGTCAAAGCTTATAAACACAGCAAAGATTAAAACCTAAAAAATTCCTTTCGTAACTGCTTACCGGATGATGAGAACTTTTCTGCAGCGATTCGGTTGACATTTACTTTCGGCAAAGTCATAATTGGTTGAAGCACCGAACCCACCATTTAGAAAATTATCGCACCCGGTTTTAAAAAATTCTTTCGCAAGGCATTCCGAAGTTATTCCGGCTTAACGGAAATCGAATCAGATCGCAAATCCGTGTGGTAGGCTGATGGTTTTCCTTATTTTATACGACCTTTGTCATGTAAACATTCAAATCTATAATATTTCAGTAAAGTTCGAACAACGAAGCAATAAAACAAATTTAAAAGAAATTATAAAAAGTCATAAAAAGTAAGGAAATAGTTTTTAACCTGGTGATCTTTCATACATTATTTATCTCATTATTTCCAATTTTTAAAGTTTCTAATTCACTTAAAATGCGTTGAGTGATCAGGCAGTCTGCTGACAGCGGTTTGATCAAAACTGATCTATCAATAACAAACGTAGACTATCAAAGTTAGTACTGTGAACATAATCCTTATTTCTTATCCTTTTCTTCTTCAATGCAATAAACACTTTTGTATAACTCCCATTCATAATTTGCCTCAACTTTCACAATATGCCTAAAACGATTATTTTATGGTTCTGCGAAAAATCTCAAGAATTAATTGAACCAAGGATTTTAAATAGGTTCTCAAGAGAAAAAGAAAATCTAGACGACCTCTAACCACATAATAAAGACGAGGCTTACAACTTTTCATACCCTTGCGTAACTGTCACGAATTATAACCGTTGAGCGTTTTCCTTCAAAACTGCATAACGTGAAGCGGAAGCAGCTGAACTCGACGGACCCTGATGGACCTCGTTGAACAGTGGGAGAAGCAGAACGGCATTTCTTAACAATACAGAAAGGACAACAAAACTTCTGCCCATACTGACATAAATCCAGCACATAAATAGAACATTATATTTTTCAATAAGTTATGAATTTCAAAACTACATATAAATTATTAATTAAAACACCAAAGACTAAAGCGATGGGAGATGTCCTCTTGTACTTCGATCTAAATAGGTGTCTATACATTGTTAGCCTACTTTGTGACTGATTGGCTTTAGGCTGTTAATCAGGTACCATAGCCTGGCTAGCAGATGTTTCGCGTAGGAGACTACTTGAGGTTTGTTTCTTCGCCTTAGCAAAAACTACAGACCCTAACAATAACACACAAAATGCCCGTTGTCTTCCTCTTTTTTCTTATGCCAGTTGAGTAAATTTATCGTTTATACGTTCACACGGATGTACTGCAAGTACCTCAAACAGCTACATTGAACATAATAGGCTATACATCAAAGACAGCTGTTTACTATATTTAAAGACATTACTAAGTCCATATAGCTAAGATATGAGATTGGGAACAGGAATGAAGAAGTGGCTACCCAGGAGTGTCTACCTTGTTTTCGAGTTCATTATTTAACTTTAGACTGTTAATCAGGTTCCATAGTCCGGTTAGTGAATTTTTCCCATCCGGTAATTTTGGCGTACGTTGTGTGGGTGTTGATCCTCAAGATTTGGATTCATTTTTTATGTGACTTTTTTTATCGCTATGCCAGGCTCTTGGCAATATGTCGGCCTGCTCTTACCCCTGTTTTCTTGACTACCCGGGAATCCAGGAGTGCCAGGACATTATTTACTCTCCCCCACCATTTCAAGCAATTCCAGATACCTTTTAACTTCAACCTATGAGGTTAAACTTTGAGTGCTGCCTGGCTGTCAGAGAGTATGACTAACTTAAGTGGATACCAAGATTTTCTTTATCTCTCTGACCCATGTTCTATAGCTTGGGCTTCCTTGATTTTGAGCCGTCGGTGTACCAGAAAGAATTGGCCTAAGGGGTCCTTAGGTCAGTCTTCCCTTTCTGAAATTCTATTATAAAGTTGTATTTGGGTGTGTAGCATCAGTCAGCACACTTAGTATGGCGTCAACCTTTAACCCCTCCCTAAGCCCATTAACATGCAACAGCCTTGGAAAGTTGAAGCCTACGAGAAGTTGTTCCAACTATTACTTGTATGAGTATTTACTCATACAAGGAATAGTGGATGTAAGTGTGGACATATGGAGTGGAACTGTGGGGTTCTGCCAAACCATTAAGTGGAAACCAAACCGATAAGTGGAAGGCTTATTACTTCCCAACCTGCAGTTGGCGTGCCCACATGGCTCCAGCGACACTTAGCAATTGTTGCCTTTGCGTTTCACTTAGTACCATGATGTCCTTAGACTGCAGGGTTTTGATCCACCACACTGGTTAATGATTATGACCGTTCTAGAGACCTGTGTGATGTGGACTGACAGCGGTATGGAGAGGTAGTTATAGAGGGGTTTGAAACGATTATATTTTTTGCTAGGGAATGCAAAAATTGTCCATTGAAAGGTGGTATCAATAGAGCTGTCCGTTAAGTTCACTATATTATAATTGGTAGTACTGTTTAATTTGTTCCAACAATTTGGATAACATTTAAATATGCGAACCATTCCGATCCTAAGGACTTTTTTTAATCAAAAACAAGACTTAAAAAAAGAAAAGTAGCATAAACCGAAGACAAGTGCCCAAACTATTTAAAAATCACTACTTCCTCACGATGCAAG